AAGGCTGCGTCATATATGAGCGCCTGCAGAGCAGCCGCGACACGTTTCCGAGCGTGGGAGCTGCGCGCATGCGCCAGGCGGGCAGGTCGCGGCCCCCTTTGCGCATCCCCTGAGGCACCGCCGCCCCCCAGGGGCGCGCGGCACACACACCCCCCCCCCTGGCCCGCACCCTGGCGACGGCGTCCTTGCCGGCGGTGCGGCCCGCGGTCGACCCCTTGAGGTCGTAGCGCTCGTGGATCTGCAGGTCTGTGCTGAAGAGGTTGGCCATGACCACGAAACGCACCTTTGACGGATCCAAGGAGTTGCGAGGTCACGAGGCGAAGAGGAAGACGGCCAAGTGGTCGAGGTGGAGGGGAGGGAGGGGGCAAGGTGGGGTGGGGGTGTGGGCGAGGGAGGGGTGCGTGCGAGAAGGCAGGTTGTAGGGTGCAAGTGTGGAGCGCCACGGGGGTGGCCCAGAGGAGCGGGGATCACGCGCGGCAGCTCAGCGGCCGGCCAGGTCGCGCGCGCCCGACGCAGGGCAGAGCAGCGCAGCGGCTGCGAACTTGCTCCCCACCTTGCGGCCGCCCGAGCTGGCCGAGGTGATGCTGTAGAGACCATACACCCTGACCAGCAGGCTGTTGGGGTGCGCCAGCATGTGGCTGTAGTAGGCCGGCAGCAGGCGCCGCAGCAGGTCAAACTCGGCCTTGCGGATGGTTTTGACCAGCAGCTTGTCGTCGGCGGACAGAAAGAACACGCTGCCAGACTTGCCTGTTGTTTTTGAAAAGGAGAGGGGGAGGGGGCGGAGGGGGTCGGTCGGGCATGGCTCGAGGCAGTTTGCTTGCAGGGATTGCGGGGCGTGGGCGTGCGGCCGGCGGAAGCCCGTGCGTCACAGGCCTGGCCGAACGACAGGGGCTCGGCCGATGTGTGTGCATGTGGCATGCGTGGAAAGCAGCGCTGCGCAGACAGGCTGCCAGGCACTTGAGTGCAACAGTGTCGGGCGGCGAGCGACGAGGCAGCATGTGGTGCGCACTCCGACCCGTCCCCTTAGTCACATTGCATTACATCACACCGCGAGTCTGCAAGCAGTGAGGGTTGAGGGTCCCTTTGGGATGGGAAACTCCCTTTGGAATGGGAAAGATGCCATTGGAGAAGGAAAACCCTGGCTACAAAAGGCAGGGTAATGCCCGCAGCCTCAAAGCTTGCGCTCGCGTGCTGCGCGTGTCGTCACGCCCACCTGGCGAGTTGAGCAGCCTGAGGGCCTGGTCAGAGCAGAGCTCCTGCACCATGTCCGACGGCTGCCAGCCAAACGCGTCACGCAGGTTGCTGGGGGTGATGAGGGCGGGTGGTCCCAGGTCGACGGCGCGTCAGCGTCAAGGGGTGGAAGAGAGGGCTCGCCGCAGCGCATGCGGCGCATCACCGACAGGATGGGACGACAGGCGGCGGAGCGCTGTTGTGACTCGACGACTGCATGTCACGACGAAGCCGCCGACAAACCCGCCTCGACCGCCCGCCCCGCCCACCGGAAGACCAGCGGGCAGTAGTCCCGCCACTCAAAGTCGCTCGAGGCGCGGTGCAGGGGGGTGTCTACAGAGCCCCCCCGGGGGAACGCGGCGACCACCTTCCGCTCAAACGCCTCTGGAGGCAGCGGCCGCGGGCCGGGGACGGCGGGCGGGCCGGGCGAGACGCCCTCCGCCGCGGACTGCGCCCGCGTCACGCTCCACCTGGAGGGGGGCGGGGTGGTCCAGTCCGCGGCCAGTCCGCGATTCGAGCGGTGTGTCAAGGAGGCGTCCAGGTACAGTGGATGACTCCGAAATGGCGCGGCAAACGCCCGCCACACACAACCATCGAACACACCAAACGCCGCTGACTCCTCATGACCAGCTTTCCCCAAAGGCAGCCACCGGCCATAAACAGCTCGGGTCCCTCCCAAATGCCACAAACACAATAGCTGCGCCCCTGCAGGCGTGACACAATACCTGGAAGGCCTGCCGCACGCCCACCTGATGCCAGCCTGCAGGCCCACCATGAGGTCAAAGCTGCTGTTGTCCTTGTATACCAACTGACCCAGCCGCGTGGTCTTTTGGATGGGACGCGGATGGGGGCCGCGCGCAGCGGTCGGGGCCGGTTGAGGGGGAGACAGGGTTCGAGAGGGTGAGAGACTGAGACGCGGCCGTTATGGTGCATGTTGGAGGCAGCGCTTAACTCTGCCCTGCCTCCTGCCCCTGAAATTCAACGCGCTGCTTTCGCACAGCTTGCGGTTTGCAGAGGTCGGGGGTATGGCGGCGCAGCGTCGTGATAAACCACCAGTGGAAGGGTTGAGCGGGCGGCGCGGGGCCCGCACCTTCCTGGTGTGCCGCAGCCCGTGGTTCAGCTGGCGCCGCACCCTGTCGGGCTTCCCGAGGATGTGCAGCGCCTCGGACGCCTGCAGCAGCGACTGCCGCACCAGCCGGCCGCGGTCGTACTCCTGGGATGGGGGCATCGAAGGGATTCCTCAGGGCGACGCCAAAAAGAACCTCATACCGCGGGCGGCAAGCACTGTCCCAGATGCGTGCAGGATGCCATGAATTTAGATTTCTGGAAACAATCCGGAGGTGTGCAAGCATGCACATGAATGCAGGCCCGGTCAGCTGGTCGACGCACACCTTGACCAGCACCACGCCGGCAGGCAGGCCGGCTGCGGCGGCCACGCCACCTGCGCCCGCACCGACGGCTGCGCCGCCGCCGCCTCCGCTGCCGCCGCTGCTGGCATGTTGGTGCCCCGACCCGCCTGCCGCCGAGCCGCCGTCGCGCACGGCGCCGCCCTCCTCGGCCTCGATGCCGCCCGGCCCGCCGGCCGCGACCGCAGCCTCCGCGGCCGCCTCATGAGACAATGCTGATCTCGCGCTGGCCCCCTGCGCCGCCGCCGCCGCGCCCCCTGCGCCCGGCCTGCCGCCGCTGCCGGCAGTCCCAGGACTGTGGTGCGCGTCCTGCGCACCGCCGCCGCCGCCGCCGCCGCCGCCGCCGCCGCCGCCGCCACTGGGCCCGGTTGGCGGGGGCCGCTGCACCCCGACGCCGTGCTTCTTCCCCGCCTCCCAGAATCCGCGGTAGGTGGCGCCGTCCGCAAACGTGAACAGGCCCAGGCCGTCTTCCCGGCCGTCCTGTACGTGGCCAGGGTTCGGAGCAGCAATGACAGGGGCGCAGGGGGGGGATTGAGATGCCGGCCGCGTGGCTCAGCGACCGGGCCGGCGAGCAGCGAGCTCAGGTGGGCTGGAGCGCCGGGCGGGCACCGCCGCAGGGGCCGACGGGCGCCGGGGAGCGGTGGCCCAGCGGCTGGCCAGCCGGAACGCACGCGTACGCGCGCACCTTCCAGCCGCCGTCGTAGCGCTCCCCAGTGCTCCACACAAATGTGCCCTGGCCCTCCATTTTGCCTGAAGGGGGGGGGGGGCACTGGCCGGCCGGGCTGAGCAGCGGGCACGTGTGCAGCCAACAGGGATCCCCGTCCCCAGCCGCGCGGCCCTCGAGAAGCTGCCAGGCAGTCGCCTATGCACACACTGCTCGGCCGGCCGTTTAGCACTGCACTCAGAGGTTTGGCCGGGGAAAGAACAACCTCCCGTCCACGGCGCCGCCCCCACCTTGCCGCCACTCCCCGTCATACTCGTTCCCGTCCGCCCATACGTAGCGCCCCGGCCCGTGCGGCCGCCCCGTGTCCCAGAGCCCCTCGTAAGAGTCCCCGTTGCTGTACGTCTGCGCGGCGCCAAAGGCCATCCGACAGCGGCACGGCGCGGCAAGCAGCAGCAAATATCAGTCCTAGAACCATCACAACCGGCAAGCCGATGCGGGCACGCGTCGACGGCGGCCGCTGCATTAGCTAAATATGGGTGTGTCTGAAACAAGCAACTGCGAGCTCACGGCCGCTTGGGTCATGGCTGCCGAAGGAGAGCATCAAGCCGCGGCTGCCCAAGGCGTTGACAGCAGGGGGCAAGGGGGCGGCAGCTGCCGCGCACCTTCCTGCCGAGGCCGTGCTTTGCGTCCTTGCGCCAACCCCCGGAGTAGCGGCTGCCGTCCGGCGCCTCAAAGCTGCCCACGCCGTGCATGAACCCCCCCTGCCACTCCCCTGCGGGCGCGGCGGGGGGACATGGCGCGGAGCGCTTCAACGTTCGCAGCAGGGGCGTGTCTGGAGGGGGGGTGGTGGGACTAGGGGCTGGACACGGGCGGATTAAGACGAGGCAGCCGCGTGCGCGGCCTTGAGAGGGTGAGGCTTGAGGGCGAGGCTTGCGGTTACAACGCCGGCGGCGCCGCCGCGGGGTTTGGGAGGCGTGCTTGTTGCAACCAGGGCTGGGTACCCGCCCAGGGCCCCGCGGTCTAGCCACAACAACATGCTGCAAGCAGCTGCCGCGCCGCCGCGCCAAAACAACGTGCTGCATCCAGCTGCCCCGCCGCAATGCTGATCCCCCGTGTCCCCAGGCAGCAGCACGACACCGAGATGCAGGCGGCGCAGGCGCGCCCCGTCAGCCACCTCGTGAGCCGCGTGCGGCGGCGAGGGGGGGACACGCACCATGGTAGGATGCCCGGCTCGGCCAGGTGTACGTTCCCACGCCGTGCTTTGCCCCGTCCCTCCAGCTTCCGGTGTACACGCTGCCGTCGGCCCAGAGGTACTTGCCCTCGCCAGAGGGCTGCCGGAGGGCGGCAAAGAACGCGGGCGACCGCGCTCGGCGTGAATGGTGTGGGCACCATCGGGCGTGCCCCTGGGATCGTGGTGGCTGTCGCAAGCCGGTGCCGCGGTGCTGGCACAGCAGGAGAATGACTGCGTGCTGCGCCACGCCTTCACAGGCACATCACCGCGCACGCCCACCATGCCGCTCTTCCAGCCGCCGATGTAGGAGTCGCCATTCGCAAACTTCTTGTGGCACGTCTCCATCGTGGGGGCCGCGAGCACCACGGGCGCCGGGCGCCGCCCCCACGTTCGACCCCTCCGCCCAGGCTCCTGTTGCGCAACGGTAACCGTGCCCCTGGATGGTCAGGGTCGTCTCTGCCGCGGAGGGCTGCACGGTGTTTGGTGGCTCGGGCGCCTGCTGAGCATCTCTCCCAAAGCAGCGGAAAGCGCGCACACATGGCCCAGCAGAGCAGCAGCAGCTTGGACTCAGAGTGACGCGACTGCCAAGTGCGACCTGTGCCGCAGATCGCTGCGTCAGCATATCACTCACTTCTCAAATTTTGTATAGATGCCTTGCACAACCCAACACGGTCCCTGATCGACCTCAGAAAAGGACCCCGCAGGCTACCGGTAACAATCCTCTCCCGGACAAAGAGCAACCTCGATACTGGACGTGATTTTGCTTTGTTATGTGTTCTACAATGGAGTTCAGCGCGCCGTCTGTCTCTCGTGCCAACGTCAGTGGGACTTCTCTAATGCTGGAGTCTAGTATAGATCACGATGGCCCGAGAAGTAAAGGAGCACGAGACTGCAGAAGGTTGAAGAAAGCTGTGGTGAGCCAGACTTGCAGCAGCAACGTAGATCCCGAGAAGGCGTAGTAACCCACGTCGTCACCAGCAGTGAAGCCAGCCACCTGCAGCCGTGCCTGACAACAGAAGTTTGAGGCAGGCCGTAGTGTGAGGCAAGTTGGCAACCAAGAACGGGCAACATCCCTCTGGTAATGGCGTGATGGCAAGGCCGCTGACGTGCCTGCCTTTTGCGCATGGACACTGAAGATGTGTTGGCAACGAGCTGCCGTGTGCGTGGTCACCAGATTACACAGACCCCAAGACTCGAGACAATGCGCGTTGGCGTTGTTGGTTGGGTAGTGCTTGGCGCGGGGGCGGCTGCTGCGGTGTTCTAAATTGCATTGGATGCCGCTTTGGGGCCAGAGCCCCTTGCTTTGTGCCAACGTCTTTGAATCAGTTGCGGAAACCCATCAAAACTGCCAGTATCAGTAACACCTCTTATGTTTCGAGTTCGTACACACTGTGTAAGTCTTCATTCCCTAGAGTCCTGCCCTATGCGGACACAAGGGTCACGGGCCAGCTGAAGCAAAGCCGACGCGCTTCTGCCGCAGGGGGCCGTCCGCTTCAAGGTGTGCCACCATCGCGGCCGCCACGTCCTCATAGCTGGCAGAACGCAGCTGCAGGAACGTGCGCATGGGGCCAGGGCGCAGGGCTGAGACGTTGCAGCTTGTCCTTCAGTGCCATTGTTTGCCATTTGCAAAGGTGAGATTGCGTGGAAAAAGCATGTTGATGGGGGGCCAGATCAGGGATTGCTGCACCCGGCTGCCAGCCAAACCGACCCCACCTGATCTCTTGCTGTGGCGAACGCTGGCAGCAGCAGCGCTGTCGGCAGCCACGCGCTCCAGCCGGGCAGCTCCAGCGGCGCCACCTCGGTCGTCACTCGCACGCGGGCCGTCTCCACAGGGTGACGCCCGGTGGGGGCGTCAAACATGACTCCAGGGCAGGCCAGGCTCCAGTCCAGGGAGGCTCCCTCTGATTGCAGGAGCTCATAATGGTCCTTGTGTATCAGGTACTTCAAAAATTCAAGGTGTGAAAGGGCCGGGCAGGGCGGGTTTCCGTGGGTCTGCTTGCGAAATCAGCACAGGGGTCGCACTTTGATGCATGACATTTTGATGCGAGATGCAGGGGCGGGGCACTACGAGCAGGATCCCCGGCTGCTGCTGCGCTTGAGCATTCGGTCTGCATGGGCCTGTGTGCGGTCACCTTGCTGGGGAAACCTGGGACGTCCACCAGCTTGACGCCTGGCCGGCCGGGAACGTCCAGCACCCCTGGAGAGATGGGCGGCGCAGCAGACAGCGCTGGTGTGAGGCAGAGGACTTGTCGCATAAGCAGACGAATTATGCAACAACATTCAGCAAGTATCACTTACTTCATCATGCATGTGTTGCGAACAGCTTCGCTTGCCCTCCTTGCGGAATATGATGGGGAGCTCAGCCCTGCCCTTCGTTCACGAGCCGTGCGCACCGGCGCCAGCCAGCACCCAAAGCCGCCGCGGCCCCTCCAAGCACTCCACAGCGGCCCGCACCGCGCTGCCGACCAGCCGCTGCAGCGGCCGCCCCTCCTCATAGTTTCGCCCGATGTACCCGGCCGCCTGCACCGCCGCCTGCTGGCCGCGCATTGCGCTGCGCAGCTGCTGGGCGTCGATGACGTCACCCTGCACCACCCTGACCTTCCGGAGCGTCTCTGGCGGTATTCCGGCGGACTGGAGCTTTTGGGGGTCCCTCACGAATGCAGTGACCTCATGACCGGCTGTGAGGGCGGTGTGGGGCGAGGGGCGGCGTTGACCCTGGTCCTCGCAGGTCAAGGTGACATGAACAGTGTGACATGCTCCGTAGCAGTCGCAGCGTGCGTAGAGGGTGCGTCGTGAAATGCCTGCAATTCATGGAATTACCTCGAGCTGCGCAGCTGGCGGGGGCAAGCTTGTTACCCAATTGTCAGTGGTGAAAGGCAGCATTGCCCGTGCTCTGCTGGTACCCTTGCTCGCCTGCAACAGCGCTTTCAACCACGCGCGAGCCGACATTGCCGCTTGCGCCCAGGACGACGAGCCTCATGAGATACACTTGTCCACGTGCATGGCATCACCTAGCTGCAGTTCATTGGGGATCTGCAGATCGCGTTTCGTGAGCCCGCTGGCAGCACGGTTTGTAGAAATAAGTGTTTGTTCACTTAAATAATACGCACACATTCATTATCTACCAGGCAATAAGTTCTTTGCTGATGGCTCAGCGTTGCATATGACGGCGCAACATCAGTCATACTGTAGCCAGCCATGGCTGCGGCGGATCCCGCGTGCTGATGCGACTCACATGCCTGACCCAAGACATAGTGATGCAGCGAGCGGAACCCTTGTGAGGATGATAAGAGCTGCCGGCTGAGTGCTGTACTGCTGGCAAGAGGTGATCAAATCCGTGGTCGAGCGTGGCTGGCCTGCCGCAGGGGCTTAGTCATCACCGTCTCATCTGCTGCAATACGGTGCCTTGACACCTCACAAGCCTGCCTCTTGTTCGCATGCCATGGATGATAAGTTGAAACTTGAAGCAATCAAATGACTACATGAGCAAGCGACGACGCACTACGATTGTCGCTACATGAGCAAGGCACAATGCGCCACCTTCGCGGGCGCCCGTCCGTACCCCAGCCCGTCCGTACCCCAGCCCGAGGCGCCGTCACAGCACCACGCACACGCGCACCGCGCCCGCGCGCCACAGCAGCGCCGGGTTGACCAACCGCTCCACACGCGGCCCCCTCGGGCCCGCCCCCGCCCCCGGGGCCCTGTCCCCGCCGCCAGAGCCCGCGCCCCCGACGCCGACCAGCCGCAGGATGTGGTACCAGTCTCCCGCCGCCTCTGCGAATTCAAACTCCCGCCTGGACATTTCGAAGAGCTGCTTTCCCGCCGAGCGCGAGGCCTTGACCTCGACGAACACAGCCGCGCCGTCCGGGCCGGCCAGCCGGATGTCATACGGCAGCCCGCTCTCCCCGGCCGCGTTCTCCCAGATCACGTCCCAGCCGCCGCCCGACGCGGCCGCGGCGCTCGTCAGGTAGTGGTACGCGAGCTCTTCCCCGTATCGTCCGACGGCGGCGGCGTCTGCGGACGCCGCGTCCGAGCTTGACGAGGCTGCGGCCGGCGGCGGCGGCAGCGGGCCGGCGGCCGCGCGCACCGACTCCGGGACCTCCGACGCCGCTTGGAGCCGCGCCGCGGCGTCGGCGGCGGAGACGGACGGCGTCCAGGGGCCGCCGCCGCCGGAGCGGCGGCCGGCGGCGGCGGAAGCGCGTTCGCCGGCGCCGCCGCGGCCGCGCGCTCCCTGGGGCTCAGCGCGGTTGCCGCCACCTTCGGCTGCCTCGCCCCTCCCTGCGCCTCTGCCGTCTACACCAGGCGGGCCTCTTGACACGCCGCCTCCTCCAACCCCTCCTCCTCTCATCCCACCAC